GAGTGGACTAGTAAGCAGCCAGACAGTATGTTTCATTAATTTATTCTTAGTTGTACAATTGGATTGGGCCACCAGACAAGTCAAAATGAGATTTACAAGCCTTTGTTTTAGCATTGAGCCCTACGGTCCCTGCGGGATTTGGTCATTGTTTCACGGCCGGCTCACAATGCGGCCTCTGCTATGCTGTAGATTGTTGCAAATTATGAAATGTGACCGGCTCAACGGGTGGTTGGAGGGCGCCACTTTTAGGTCCTACTTCTGTACTTTCTCACTGTCGTTTCTATCTGCCTGTCTTACGTTTTCCCAGCACTAAATGGGCATTATTCTGTCGATGTGCTTCTCTTTTTCCCAAACAAACACACACACAAACAAGCAAACAAAACGACTGGCTCATCTGGGTCAAGGCTGAGCAATAGTCTGTCTATTGTTGCTGAGGTTGCCCTGTCTTTCCTGTTTACATTTTTAGAGTGTTTGTCTCACTGGTGACTTTGCTTGTCTTATGATCATGTCTCAAGAAAGCGGACTTCAATCAAAGATGGGAATACGTGCATAGTTTTTGTAAACCTGTCTCTAATTATCTACATCTATAGCTTTTGTAAACCTGTCTCTAATTACAACGACCATGGTTTGTTCAGTTTTGTGTGTTTTGTTGATTTCTAGTTGTTTGGGTTATGTTTTTGTAAACGCTTGATAACTCAAAACATGTACGGTTCATGTCTCAATTTTTCTTACTTGAGTGTAAATGGCGGGTGGTTGAAGGGCGCAATTAACTGATAGGTCCTACTTCTTTACTTGCCCGCCTGTTGTTTCTTTCCGTCTGTCTTACTTTCCCAGCACTAAATGACCATTATTGTGTCGACGTGCTTTTCTTCACCCAAACAACCAAACGCTCATATGACCTTAGGCAGGTGCGAGTGCCATAAAACCTCTACTAAAACTAAACTACTAAAAACAACCAAACACAGCGGGTAGGTGGGCACCGCAGTGTGGTCTTCTGCTTGTGGCGTGATTGTTTTCAGTATTCCAGTTAATGTTACACTGAAGTCATTTCCTTCTATAGATTTTTCATTTGAATTGTTTTCCTGCTGCCACTTAGCACAAATACAGAATGAGACGTCTTTATATTTCTTCTTTACACTTAGAATACATTAATTTTAAACGGGGCGTCATCACTAAAAGTTTAAGGTTATGCTGTTTCTGTTTCAACACAGTGATATGTCGCATGGAACTGAGAACGTATTCCCAACTTTCCAGAACTCTGAAGATAGATTATAATGTGAAAGATTATAATGTGAACGGTACGCCTGGATTTTTAAAAACTCTCTTTATTGCGTATTCTAGAGAGTTTGGATGAGTTTGTTTGAATACATAGAGTACATCAACACACTAACACGATCAGTTCGTGCAGGAAAATGATAAGACAAAAACAACCGAGGGAAAGACAAGATTAGGGACCTACCAGTTGCGTTCTCAAGCTACAGGCTCCAGAACAGAAAGTCATTTTCTAGGGTGCTGTTTCGGGTCTGCCGTTCGTCATCACTAGTTCTAGTAGTAGGACCGCGCTGTGCTGGTTGAGAGCCGTAAACCTTCCTCCAAGTACACAAGTTCAATAACTTGCTGGTCGCACCTTTTGAACAAGGGTCGCACTCTACGACCGTACTTTATGATGCCAACTGAGATCTTAACAAGCTCATTTCTGCCTCGACAATAGTGTCGTTTGGTAGTCGGTATAATATAATAATATGATTATGTCAAATATAATATTTACTGACGTTCGTTTTGTACGAGCCAGACATGAAATGAAACTGATCACTCTTGTTACAACGTTTTTCTTTTCACTTTTTTTTACAGACCGCCCAGGGCTCAGAGTGCTAGGCCAAGTTTTGGTAAGTTGCATTGGTGTTGCTTCTCCCCCTCCCCTTTCTCTCTCTCTCTCTCTCTCTCTCTCTCTCTCTCTCTTTC